TTTACCCACATGAAAAAATTACGGTCAAAATACGCACTGATTGGCCTCCAGATAAGTAAAAACTTTCATATTTCAGCAGTACTCCGATATTTATAGCATCCGCCATTTTCTTTTCCAAAATTTACACGCTTTGCTTTACCACAGGAAAACCAATTCTATATTTCACCAAATGTACCATCGGTACCATCGGTATTACATTTGGTGAGGGGACCTATGCTAAGTCCGTACCGCAGGAATACTAATTCTATATTTCACCAAGTGTACCAAGTGTACCATCGGTATTACATTTGGTGAGGGGACATATGCTAAGTCCGTACCACAGGAAAACCAATTCTATATTTCATCAAGTGTACCATCGGTATTACATTTGGTGAGGGGACCTATGCTAAGTCCGTACCACAGGAATACCAATTCTATATTTCACTAAATGTACCATCGGTACCATCGGTATTACATTTGGTGAGGGAACCTATACCGAGTCCGTAACACAGGAATACCAATTCTATATTTCACCAAATGTACCATCGGTACCATCGGTATTACATTTGATGAGGGGACCTATGCTAAGTCCGTACCACAGGAAAACCAATTCTATATTTCACCAAGTGTACCATCGGTACCATCGGTATTACAATGGTGAAGGGGACCTATACCAAGTCCGCTACGTATTTTTTGAAGTACTTAAACTTCAAGTACTACTTAATTCATTTAAAAACGTTACGTAACAACCCAATTTGTTAATTATATGCGCATTTCTTGCATATAAATTACTTTCACCATCTGTACCGTCGGTAAAATACTTTTACCGTCCGTATTAGATCATCCATTTTGGACAACCCTCGTCCACAATCTTTACATGTAAACCAGATGCACCGAGTAGCTGTCAACCAGTCACACCAAAGTTGTTTTTCAAGTCTCCCTGAGAGAAATATATTGATAACCTAAAAGAAAACTTGCGAGATGCTAAAGAAAGGGAACGAAGAGTCTCCGAGTGGCTGCAAGAACGCTCTGAAAAGAATAAACAAAGTCAAATTCAACGTGAGGGACCGATGTGTAGCAATTGTCACCGCAGGGAAGGACATAATCGCCTGAATTGCCCATACCAGAAGTGT